AGAGAGAGAGAGAGAGAGAGAGAGAGAGAGAGAGAGAGAGAGAGAGACTTATAAATAAACGTGTGATTTATCGACAAATGAAAGCCTAAAACGTAAAGCCATAAGACTTTTATACCATTGAATGGATAAAGTCTTATAACTATTTATTGTACATTTGGTATGTGTTATACCATCGATGGAGAGGGAGTGAGAGAGCGTTTATATATGTGGGCAATAGGACTGAACGGAAACATTTTAGGAAATGAAAAAATTTCTCCCTCTTCTTCATCACAAAATACTGGCCAACAAAACATCAAATATTTAATGTCTTTTGGCTTTCAATTAACTTATGGCTTGAATGAATTAATAGGAAATTGATATCAAAAACTTATAAAATTGAGCTTAAAATACATGATTTATTTATGGATTCAAATATTAAAAAAACAGTTATTTTAAAATATTTTAAACTTAAGATACGATTGAAACAAACAGAAGAATCACAGAAGAGATTGCATAGAGATATAAGAGATGTGTGCAAACAATACCATATAATCTTCTGTAAAGACATGCGATTATATTATAAAATAACGTGACATTTGATCAACATTTTAATCTATCTTTTGTCACTTTATTTTTGTGTATTTTTTGCGAAATGTTTTTGACGAAAAAATTATGAAAAATTGAAAATCAATATTATTTTTACAGTATTTTTAGTGTACAAAAAATCAGAGGCAATGAATTTGATATTTACTTAACTTTAATGTGATTTTAAGTCAAGTAATATTCAATGGCATGAGAGAGAGAGAGAGAGATTATAATTACCTAAAAACGGTTTTATACAATTAATTATTAATTATATTTGAATAAAATATTTATTATTACTTTAATAACACAATTTGATACAAGAATACATTTTAAAAACAGCAAACATTTTTTGCATAGACTAGACAGAAAAGTAAAAACATTTTATTTCAATTATAAAACTATATCTTATATAAAATCATTCTTTATGAAGAATATTTATGAAAATATTAGAAAATTTAAAAATAATAAAATAATAAAAACAATCCTAACATTTATAATTTTTAAAATTCGACCTAAATTAATATCAAACTAATATCAAATTTATATAATAGAATATATTAACAAACAAATTATAAATTCATAAGAAATATACAGGTAAAGTGTGGATTCAATCAATATTTCCAGGGCTTGGGATGCGAATGTGGGATATAAGGCATGGGTCGGTGTCTTCTTATATAATCATAATTCCAGCAAAATTCAGGACGAGTTGCAACGCTTCGCTGACTGCCATTCGCTTGTTGTGTGCGGACAGTTGGCCCAGAAATCACGGGAGGGTTTGGCTCCATACCGACCGGTGCCGTGCGGTTGTGCTCACTATTGGCAACCGTTTGATTGTTTACCAAATTTGCGGCCAATGGTGCGGAAGAGCTCGGGTGGACGTGCGAAGCCAATTGAGGTGTTGACCAGCTCATCAAATTGGCGGTCGGGTTCCCTGTTCTCAACTCATTGAGATATAAGCGAATGGGAGTTAAACATTGTCGGCCCCAATAGGCGATGAGTGTGGGCGTAGTGATAGCCTGACGACAAATGGGACAATTGGGTGTTGTGATGAACCACTGGCCGATACAATCGAAATGATATTTGTGGCCACAATTTAGTTGATACATGTCGGCACTCATTTCGCCCAAACAGATGACACATTCATTCTCTCCATTCATATTTGCCCTTTAATTCAAATCAAATTAATAAATTGTAATTTAGATATTTAAAGAGAGTTTAAATAATTTAGATATTTAAATATATTTATAGAGTATTTAATTACATTTGTGTCCAATTGTTTATTTAATTGTGAATTTCACTCCTTTACCAATTGCTTGAAAAGACTTAATAAACCAAAAATGATATGAGAATAGGAAATGATCACAGATTTTGTTTCAAAATTTTATTAATAAACCTAAAAAATTTTAAGTCTCATTTAGTCTGAAACAATCACATAGTTTTAATTAATACGTTGTAAATGATTATATGTTAATATTTTAATCCTAATATCAGATGATATTAGTTGTTGTAAATGTGGAAAACTAGCGGACAAACGATTCATAGATATAAATGATAAACATTTAATAAAATTTAATCTATTGTGGTAATAATGACTCTCTCTCTCTCTCTCTCTCTTTCTCTCCCATGTTTTTATATCTTTAGGAAATATTAGGACATAAATTCATGAGAGAATTCAATCATAAAAATCTT